TCTTTACATATGATGATTAACTATTAATAGAAACTTGAGTCTATAAGTTGGTTATAAATTTCCTGCACTTTTTTGTAGTTATTATATATAAGGCTCATTTTGTTCTTTATATCTAGAACTTTAGACCCCATATCTCCCTACTTATAAATAAGAGATTTCTATGAAAGTCAATGGTTAGATACTTCGATTCAAGATATTAGGTCGGATCAGTACGCACTGTTGAGCCGTGATAGTGAACTTTCACATTCTATGTCTCATTTTCTTCCGTCTTCTTACATTTATATTGGTTTTTTTTTTTTTTTTTTTTTTTTTTTTTTTTTTTTTTTTGTATTTTGACTCATAGCTCATAAGCGTATCTATGTTTAATTTTGAATGGAAAAGATTCTATTAGGGTTATAATTTTATATGATTAAAGAGGGGAGAAGTGATTTTATACGTAGGATGTGGATAAAACTTTATTGGAAATTGTATTTATATGATAAAGATGGGTAATTCAAGAAGAGAGTTCTAAACATATATGACGATGGTCTGGTGATGGTTGAGCTCGAGAATTCTCAATAGCTTGAAGCTCCTTTCGGTCTTCTCATCTCGGTCTAGCCCCGTTCATGAGAAGAGTGAGAGCTTATTTATAGAATTTAAGAGTGACATCCTCAATAAATACTACTTGAATTTGAACCATCCCATCGGACATACGAAAGTAATCACAATCTATATCATATATCTTAATTTCTTAATGTTTTACATGTCTTTTGAGTTAGTATGACTCTAGTATAACTCAAAAATATACTTGGATCCAACACTTCCCAAGCTTATAGGTTGTACTTCTCACACATCCAAATTTATTTTGAATTCAACATTATGGTATACTTGAGTATATTTTGCATGTCAAGTTCTTTAATGCTGAATTGATTTTGTAATTGCTCCGCAAGCTTTTTGAGAAGGTAAAATATAATAGAGTTTCCAAAGATGTTAGGTTATATAGGTTGCATACTTATGATAAACTATGTTTGAAGAATGTGATTATGTAGTTTTAACAAAACATATGAATTTCTAATAATGTCCTATAAGTGTTATATAATGTTAAATTTACTTAACTAAACTTGAGAACATTGAAGGGAGACTTCCACTAAAAATAACAATAAATGAAAGACTACATCTAATATTTAAACTTCTAGAGCGCGAGTTGACAGTATTACTCATTTTATAATTAGACTAGCTTGGCGATGTATTGGCTATATAAAAGATGCAAAAAAATAGTATATATAAATTTTTTATCTTAATATTCTAAGAGATTTGAAGAGAAATATTTTTCATGTACAAATAACTTGTCAAATACATCTAAAAGCTAACCGAAGGTGTGGAAGGCATATTCCATGAGAATTATCCCACTCTAAAAAAATTGTCCTAAAGTGTATGGAAGAAATTCTCCTTCGCAGTATAAGACACGGTGATTGTCTAGAAAGCATAGTGAAGTCAATTACTCGTGAATCGGTTCTTGCCACTCAACCTTCTCCAATCGGCTCAGGATAATTGTGACCAAACAAAGGGCAGAGATGATAAATATAAAACTTATTATCTCTGATACATTGTCCTCAACATGTAATTATTAATTGGGTTTATTTTATAATAAAAATTTCTATAAACAAAGGGGGAAGAGGGAATGTAAAAGAGGATCCTTTATTATTTCCACCACGAGCAGTTACTAAAAAAAATACAACATTTTTTCCACTCTTTCTCCATTCTCTCTCTCTCTCTTTTATGCTCTATTCTTTGGTTGTGATTCATCGACAAATCTGTCTTTAACATACTAAAATTGTGTGATGAGCGTAACATTTCACAAATAAGAATAGAAGCATCACATAGAGAAAAACCAACCCAAGGAGAAGTAACTAGCAATAGAGAATTCATCCGGGAAAATAGTCGAACTCATCCATTTGACTGCCTGTACAAACTCCTCCATTCAGCCTTCCTCCATTCGCCCTCCTCCATTCGCCCTCCTCCATTCGCCCTCCTGTAGCCAACCTCCTCTACTCGGACACCTACATTCGGTCAAAAAAAGATTACTCTCCTAAGAAAATTCTCTTAAAAAATATCTTCATGAAAACAGTTTGTCAAAGGGAAGATGGGTCACGAAGGAGTGGAGCCGAGCAACATGAAAAAACATAACAGAAAAATATCTGAAAACCCTCTTTCAAATTTTTGCTTTGATTTATTGCATTTATGCTTTTTGAGCTTCTTCAATGTGTATATTATTTGGTAAATAAAAAGAATTTGCCCATAGCACTAAGAAACTTGCCCCTCATGTGCAAGATTCCTAAGAGTAAAGGAAAATCGCCTAATCATTTGCTAGAGAAGACTTTGACTAAGCTCCTTCTAAAGTATAACTTGGCCAAATAATGGATGAAGCCAATTAACCTAGGGGTTGAAGATCGCACCATCTCGACCTATATAAAATTGAAAAATTACGACGACAATTACTTGTAGGAGAGCTACAACCCTCAAGCGAAGGATAGTCCAAATTTAACAAAACTGCATAATTTTTTTGAATCTGTCGTATTTTTTTAAAGTACTCAATTTAGTCGCACAAAAAAGGTGAGTAGTTTCACCGAGAACTCTCCCTATAAGTCTATCATGTCAATTATCATAAGAATAAGCTGACAATCTATGAGTCTACTACCTGAAGGTGAGCTAAAAGTACAAAGATGAAATCCTTTAGGTGTAGTCAAGGTGCCCCAAGAATAATTCTTCATAGATGAATTAAGAGCCCGTAAGCATTTGAATAATCAATGCATAGAGATATACACCATGCTTCTTTAATCAAACATTTTTTTGAGTTATATTCGGGGAGAATAGCACATCTAATAAATTGATTTACTAGACTATAAAAACATGCACTTGTCTTATCGAGTCAATAATGTTAGTTCATATTCATCATTTTCTTATTCTTTTCGCAGCTGCCTTTCAAAGAAATAAGATAATTATGGAGCTAATATATATATATATATATATATATATATATATATATGAAAAAAATCCTCAATCGCAATTTAAGTATTTGATTGTCTAGAAAACCTCCTGAACTTAGTCACTATTCACTCGACTCTAGCCACTCGGCTCTCTCTCGTCGGCCCTCATCAATCGATCATTTCTAGTTAGTTCTCTCCAGTCAACCCTCATCAGTTGGCCCTCTCCAATCACCCCTCATCAATCGATACTCTTCTGTTTACCCTCTCCAATCGATTATCATCAGTAGGCCCTCATCATTTGGCACTCTTCAATCGGCCCTCATCAATCGATACTCTTCAGTCAACTATCTCCGATTGACTCTCATCAGTTGGCCCTATTCAATTGACCCTCATTAATCGATATTTTCCAACCGACCCACTCTAATTAGAATTCATGTAACCAACCCTCATCAATCGACACTCTCCAATTAACCCTCATTAATCGATACTCTCCAGTTGAACCTATCCAATCAATCATCATCAATTGACACTTATCAATCGATACTCCCATCTCGTCCATCTCCAATCGAACCTCATCAATCGATACTATTCAGTTGACCCTCTCTAATTGGCCCTCTCTTTTCAGTCGACCCCCTCTAACCGGCCCTCATCAATGTGCACTCTCCAATCGGCCCTCTCGAATCGACACTGTCCACTCCGCCTAGGAAAAATGTGACAAGACAAAGTATACAAATGATGGATATTAAATATGTTATCGCAAACATATTATTCTCTTAATGTAATTATAGCATGTATATGTTTTATAATAAAATATCTCTATATAAAGGGTAAAAAAGAATCTAAAAAAATATTTTTGAACTACTACTAAAAGATGATAGAACACTTTCTACAATTTTTTTCCGCTCCCTCACATGTCCTATTTTTTGTTATATTCTTTTGGTGTGATTCACGAACAAATCTAAGTTCAACATGAAAAAACTTAAAAAAGAAAGGAAAAAGTGCAAAAGCGATAAAATAACACCCATTTTAATTATGTTTGTGAGCTTCATCTTTATCAATAATTCAAGCCTTCAATTCAATTTGCTCAAATTTCAAAAAAAAAAAAAAAAACGATTCAGGATTATTTTGTGAAAACAAATTGAAGGCTCTAATTAAATAATAACCACATCAATGTGGTCATATCTACCTTCTGCAGTTGCTTGATTAGGATGCAGACAATTGCCTTGTAGCAATAAAATCAAGCAAGAGAAAAGCAGCAGAAGAGTTCACTGTTGAACAACAGAGACATTCTAGGCATCTTCAAATGGGATAAAGATGCGCAATCATTTAAGCAGCTATTTAATCCATCTTTTTATAACAATTTCACGAAGTTTGAGCATCAGCACCCCCATTTGAAGAAGAAACAATTTAGTCTGTCGTCCGGAAGTCGAGTTACGTTTGATCTCCGTTGAATCACGATCGTCGCCTGAACGCACCTCAGCGGCGTCCAGGCGACGGAAGTTATAATTTTTCCATTTGAAGGGGTGAGAAACTAGAAAAATTTTGCGTGTGGCTAATCTGGCGAAAAGAATTGCATACGTCAAAGGATACGCAAAAATGCATATATAATAGGGTACACGGGACGGGCGTTATATGGGGCGTTATATGGGGGTTACATGAGGGTTACAAGCGTGTTATAACTTTTTTGTAACTTTCGTGTAACTCAGCTGTAACCCGCGCTTTTATTTTATCCATTGAGATTACAAGATTACAGCGGGGTTACACGGGAGTTACACGAGAGTTACACGAGAGTTACACGGGGGTACAACGGTTTATAACCCCCTTATAATCCCTGTATAACCCCCGTATACCTTATTATGTACGCATCTCTATGTACCCCTTTATGTACGTAATTTTTTTCCGTCAAAAATTTAAAGTGACCCCATTTTAACAATAAAAAAAACAAAAAAAATATTTGTGAGTGGTCTAGATCTGGCACCGCACACAAATTTACGTGCGGTGTCTGTACATAATAAACGCTCGAGAAAATGACCACACAATTCACTTTTTATTTGCTCGAAAAAACTAATAAACATGAAAACAATCTGAGGTTCTTCAAACATTTTGCTTTGCTTCTTCTAACTCTAAAAAAATCAAAACATAACTCATACTCAGGATACATTTCCGAACGTTGGACGGAGCTAAGTCCACAAACATTCAGGAACAGAACAAAATAGAGAACAAGAAACTCAGACGAAAACGAAAATCAAAGCAAGCACAGAGAAGAAAATGTTGCAAACAATCAAACAGAGACCTGATCTCTATATAAAAATTTACGGGATAAAGAGCACCAGGGGAGACAAGACTCCTTGACTCGCCATTGCAACATATTCGCTAGTAATGGGAAGCGGAGGAGTCAGAAGACGGCTTCTCGGAGATACCGTCGTCGAGAACATCTTGGGCGTGAATCCCCGCCGGAAAACGGAAGCCCGAGAAGCTGCGGCTTCCGGACGAATAGCCAACGGAGGAAACCTCGGGAATTAGCCCCTGCTGCATTTGTTGATCAATGGGTTCCATCCATGGACGAAGTAAAGATGAGTTACTGGACTGAAGGGGTCCCCTCTGTGTTGAAAGCTGGCCTTGGCCGAGCAACACTGGCGGCACATTAAACGCATAAACTCCGGAGCCACCTTCACTGCCGCCGGCCGCCGCGTTCCATGAAACCATTCTCTGGTTCTGATCCGCGAACCCTGTCGAACCAGTGTCGAATGAGAAATGGTGGTGCTGGATTGGGTTCGGATGGTCAAAGGTTGGATCTTGAATTGACTGGAGGGAGAGACGGAGGTCCTGAAAATGATGAACTTTGTTTGAGTCCTCGTGAACGGCAGCAGCGGAGTTCGCCGGAAAAAATGACTTGATTGTGTCGGCAATGGAGTCGGAATCTAAGGAAAGAGGAAGGAAGCTGGAGCTGGCTACGTTGCTGGCGCCGAAGCTGAAGGCCGCGGAAGATGCGAGTTCGTTTGGCGGCGTTTGCTTCTTGTTGGAGATTTCATGAACGGAGGAAGGGTGCCAAGCAGGGAGCTCAGATAGCTCATCAATGGCGGCTTTAGCGTTCTTAATGAGCCAATCCACGGCTTTGCTGGGACGGTCGTAGCCGAGGCGGTCTTGTACATCGTAGAACTGAATGGCAGTGTGCGCAGAAAGACGAACACGGCGGTCCCTAGGACCTTTAGCCGTGCAAACCTTGCTGTGGCGGTCTTTACGGCCGATGGAGCGCACAATGTCCTTGCTGGGGCGGTCTTTCCGGCCGATGGAGCGCACAATGTGGCCGCCCTGCACCTCCACGATTTCTCCGCCGCCGCTCCTCATTCCGGCAAGCCTCGAATAACTTCGCTGCTGCTGCTGTTGCTGCACCCGTGCCGGAGGAACATACTCAGAAGAAGCCGTGGCTGAGGCCGACGGCGAGGGAGAAAAGAAAGTTTTTTTATGAGGGTGGAGCAGAAAGCCAACGTTTTGCTCTGCTTCCTCTCTTTCTTCTCCTCTTCGGTTGGGAATTGGGAGTCGAAAGTGGGGATCCAGCTTTAATTCAACAGGCTTTCTCCTCCTTGTACTCAAAGAAATTCGACTCACGAATCTCCGGTGAGCCGAGATGCTGCTCTGCTCGCTTCGTCTTCCAAAAAACTTGGCCATCCAAGATCCAGAATTCCATAAACAAGTGGAGGAAGACACACGTACATGATGGAGAGAAAAAAAGGAGGCAGGAGCTACATGAAAAGCAACAAGACAGCGATAAGCTCCGCCGTGCTGAGAGGGTAAGAAGAGTCGAGGAAAAGGAGGAAAAATGGAAGCTTTCGGCGGAGGAGACAAGCTTCAAAGACTAACAAAAGATACTGATGATCTCAGTGGGGCGTCCATGGCGAGGAATAAAACCAAAACTCGGAGGAGTGAGACGCTCTCCGTCACTCCTCTCTTTTTCTCTCTTACTGGGACCGTGACTCTCTCAGCTTTTGGTTTTTTCCTCTCAATCCTTTATTGCTTTGCGGAAAGAAACACAGGCTCTCCCATCCCCGTCCTCTTCCATGGCTGCTGGCATTGTGTTTATCAGTCTCTGATTCTGGATTTCACCGCAGCATGATCCGGTGAAACCAGATTGGTTAAATTTATCGGTTTTATTTAACAATTTTCTCAGTAAATTCTTGTTAGGTCTGTGAATTCAGTTCAAAGATTATTAGTGGCTCAAAAATTGATTTGAATTTTGGTTCGAAATGAGATCAAATTAAAATGCACGAGCCAAACTATGATCTAAATCTTTTGATCAAATTTTTTTCATGCTAATTTTGAGCAAATCCTAGCTCTGCTTGAAATCGGATCGATGACACTCCTAGTTTAATTAGGACTGTGAATTTTTAGAGTTTAACTTGAAGATTGTTAATTGCTCGAAAACTCATTCGAATTTTAGCTGGGATTGAGATCGAATAAAAAAATGAGAAACATTGAGCCGAGCTACGAGCTAAAACGTGGACAAAATTTTATTTGGGCATATTTTGAGCTGATCCCAACTCGACTTAAAATTAGATCATTAACAACCCCAGTTCTTACTTATGGATGTATCATCGAGGAGTGCAAATGAGTCAAGTCGACGGATTAGTTAGTTTGAGCTCTTAAGTGACTCGAGAACGAAACTCATTGAGCTAAGCTAGCCTCGATTCAACTTGTTTGTCATGAGCCGACTCATTTAAAAATATTAATATAAAATACATTGAAAATATATCAAATTTGAAAACTTTATCATTGAAATATAAAATTATTTTAAAAATAATATTTATTATTTTATATTAAGTGATTTTTTTATTATTTCTATCGTAATTTCCTCCTATTCTCATTTTTTTTACAGCACTACGTTAAATTAATGTTTTTTTTTTCTCTTTCATGAGCTAAATCGGCCTCAGCTGGTTAAATATTTACCTTAATATATGCTTGATTTTATTATTGAGTTACTTTTTTTGTCATCTAAAAATTTTGGGATAATTACTTACAAAAATCTTGATATTTACGCATCTGGCAGTGGAATTTAAATTTTTACAAGCTTATCATTTATTTATGTCTGAAAATATAAATTTTACTATTATATACTATCGAAAAGAGAGAGAAAGAGAGCTAGATGTCACAGACAAAATATCCCACATCGGCCAAGTGTAAGGCCAAAAAATAGTATTTAAGTTCTGGGTTAAGGATTGACATTACTGCTCCCTAACATTTAGTAAATAGTTACCCCTTACCCTAATGGGTGATTGACAATCCTAGCCCATCGATGAAACTGACTCATAAAAAATCCAATTTTTTTTAATATAAATTTGACAGTAAAAATGTACTTTTTGAATGAAACCCATATTTTGCTTGCTAAAATGAATACAAACTTAAATTATTTTAAAACACATTTTTAAAAGTGTTACTTTGAACACATTTATGTGTCAGTCACCTTCCTATGATTGCCTGACGGGTAGCCTTTTATCCTATGCTAGGTCTCACATAAATGATGTGAATGGTTGCCTATGGAGTCCTCCGGGAAGAATTATCAGGCCCACTAGTCTTGATTCTAAGCTCTCCATTGACTTAAATTCTTACACACAGTTCTGATCTTCAATATGTACCATATGAATGGTTTTGCATGCTCCGCACTTTGTTTGATTTCTTTAATCTACATGTTATTATTTGTAATGCTAACCTTTCAGCAGCAGCGACAAGAATCCCATGTCCGCACATTCATTTTATTTTTTTGCATTCTTCTTTCACTGCTCTTTACTCATGTAAGATTTACTTTCAAGACCTTCAAAGCCCCTATGGTAGAGAACAACAGGACACCAGTTTAGGAGGCACACTGCGGCAAGCCTCATAGACCACCTCTATAATGACCATTAGGGGGTGTTTGGCTGCAACACTTATTTACATTAAATAGGATTTAATAAATCCAGATTTATATTGATGGGGATGGCGATGGAGATGACATTCGCAGCACGATGGAAGAAATTCTTAAATTCCCCTCGCAATCAGATTTAGTAAATCTTGATTTAAGTAGTAAAAAAAGACGAAATGCAAGACGAAAAAATAGAATGTGAAAAAAATTGATTTAACAGAGCGTTCGATTTAATTTTCGTTCCTTTTATATTTGGGTGCATTTGCGCTAAATTCATGGCTACCAAACACTCCCTTAATGTGCTTTTGAAGCAGCTAAAGCCCCTATGGTAGAGAACAATATTGCATGTTCACATATAAAACCCTAAATTCGAAGCAGCTATGTCGAAAATCTTGGAGCAAACCTTGTGGGCAGCACGACAAGAAAGCAAGCAGACGGATGACAACTTCAAGCAACAAAGCAAGACAAAACATGAAGCAGATCTACTCCAGCTAAACCGTTCCTTAGCTTTAAATAACATAACCTATAGGAACTCGAAGTGGTTCCTCTAGCACTACGTAAATCCTCACACTATCTTTAGAATTTTGCACAACCATGCTGTTTAATATAGTCCTAACTCTTTTTAGGATTCCAAGACCGTCGTTCGGTACAACGTAAATCCTCATATTTTCTCAGGCTACTTGCAAGATTGGTATTAAGCAAGTGTAAGCCCTAAATAATAAAATAAGCAAAAGAGAACATTTAAATAAAATTATCTCTAAAATGTGCAGCCAAACAATAGGATAGTTTGGGAAGTCATTGAGGTTCTCCTCGAAATCTGTGGCATCCCCTACTCTTCCCTCCTTTGGAATCCTAAAATGACTACTCATATTTGGTCATTTCCCACTTGATTTTCTATGTCCAATCTTAAAAACCTAAATGTTGAATTCTTGAAGACAAAATCACTGATCTTAATCGAGAGTTTTCTCAAATGATTTTGGTCATTAGAGATATAATTAACTATAATGGTTTGCCCTTGTAGGGAACTTAGAACACAGGTAAAATAATCTCTATTTGAATCTTTATATTAGGTAAGAAAACTTGTCGGTCACACATAAAAAAGTTCAAAAACCAAATGGATGTCATAAATTATTTAGTTCATGTAATTTAACCCACGTTAAGTAGTATGTCTATCTCTCGGGACGGTTTATTATTTGTAATGTTGCGCTCGATTAATTAAACTATTAAATAAATGAGATCTCCTTGGTCTCATTTTTCAAAATTAAAAATACTATTTTCCAAAATCAAAATTATATATATGAAATTAAATCATTTTCAAAATAGCAACCGATAGGAATCCCAATTTGGTGAACTTAAGCACATAACACAGATTAATATGAGGTTTAAGCACGTAATAGATGGATTAGCATGGAGCTTAAGCACATAACACATGGATTAGCATGGAGTTTAAGCACAAAATACATGGATTAATATGGGGTTTAAGCATATAACAAGTGTATTAACATGGCGTTTAAGCACATAACACATGGATTAGCATGGAGTTTAAGCACATAACACATGAATTAATTGGAGTTTAGGCACATAAAAAATAGATTAGCATGGAGTTTGAGCACATAACTCATGGATTATCATGGAAGCACAAAATAGATGGATTAGTATAAAGTTGAAGCACATAATAGATAGATTAGCATGGAAGATAACCATCAAGGTTTGCATGAATAAACATAGCCACCAAGATTTACGTAACGTAAACTACCAAAATAATGTGCAAGAAATGACCAAATAAATATATTATTTTATTTTCCCTATTTATTTCCTTTTTTCCAGGTAGTATGAGAAGCGGGAGAGAAAAGATGGGGTTAGGGTTTAGTTAAGGAGAGTGTGGTGAGTTGTTGGGCTTGAGTAGGGCTAGGTTGTGCTCGGGTAGGTTGGGTTGGGCTAGGTGGTGCTTGATTAGGGTTAGTGAGGGCTCGAGTAGGTTAGATTGGGCTAGGTGGTGCTTAGTTAGGGTCGAAATTAGAGGGCTAGTAAGTGTGTTTTTGGGTTAGGGTTGTGTTCAAGTTAGCATATTGAAAAGGTCCATCTTTCAACCCTTGAGCTAGAATGACATATGCTATTGCGGGTTCCAGATCTCTCACTTTTAACATCTCTTTTTAGAATCGTACAATGAACGAGCAGAGGCTCTCATTCTACCCTTGTTTAATCTGTAAGAGGCTCTGTAAATTCTCCTACAGTTTCTAGAAACTGGCAAATTGTGGCGCAAACATCTACTTGAAGTGAACAAATGACGTGATTACCCCCGACGATAATGCTTTGAACCACCAGGGGACCGACTCCCTCAACATGGTGAAAAAAAGGTGACACTTCAGTGCATCGGTGATCCTCAATAAGCATACAATTGACTTGAAGGAGGCTATGTGCTTGGTTCAACTACGACTCTTGTAAATTTCAGGTGTAAGAATTTTGAACCTCTTTGGGGGCTCCGTCTTAAGGATTTACTGAGAGAACTCATTCTATGGTTGATGGGGCACTTCAGTATGCCTACTAGTGTCTTTCAATCAGTATCGACCCAAAACTCTCGAAGTACTGGAAATCTCTTTTTATATCAAAAGCTAAAGGGGCACTTTGGCCTTTGGGCATCTGGCCTTCCTCTCGCGAATGTTGCTCCCTTCTCCAAGCCAATCCTGCTTGGATGATATCCAGCAACCGATCTGTTAGCTGCTGAATCTTTGGGCTCACATTATCTCTAATGCACTCTATGTTACCAGTGTTTATGTTATCAACATCTTCTTGTCTATGGCATGATCCGTTAGCTTCTCTTCTTATCTGTGGCATGATTCACACTTACTGCACCTTTTAGGATGTTGAATCTTGATTTCTCCGTGAATCACTTTCCAATGATTATAACATAAGAAAGAAGAGAGAGAGAGAGAGAGAAAGAAAGAGAAGTGAATAGCAATGAAAAGTAAAACGCTCGTATATTAGCTCTTTCACATAAAATATCTATCAATTAATAAGGGAGAGGATTCAGGCAATGATATTACATTATTGTCCCTGTTTTAAAAAAAGGTTGTAAATGATATTCTAGATATTTTACATGTGGTCATATATTGGTGAGTTGTCCTATGACTCGGTCGGCTGGACTAGAATAACTTTGGCTTAGTAAGGTTGTTTCAGTTGGTTAGGCTTAGTCGGTGCAGTC